TTCAGATCAACTATAAGGACCAATATCGGTCCGTATATATATATTCGGACCGATTTCCTATATATCCGACCGATATTTCGGTTCGGAAATCCCATTCCTGCAGTAGTGAAAGTTGATATTTTACTTTTAAATATATTTATAATGATTCATATTTGAGCAGGAAACTTTTCACATTAAAGTCGTATGTACGTAATCCAAGGTACCCAGAAGGCTCCATTGTAAAAGGTTATTTAGCTCAAGAGTGTTTGACATTTTGTTCAAGGTATCTCTCGGGGGTTGACACTAAATTTAATCAACTAATGCGCGATGATGATGATCATGAAAATGGGAGACCGCTAGGGAGGAAGGGTAAACAAGGCTTCTAGGTGAAGAAGCGAAAAAGGATTGCTCGAATTGAGTTAGATGACCAAACATGTATACAAGCACATAGATATGTGCTATTCAATAGTGAAGAAGTTGCTCCATTTCTAAAGTTAGTCTTTGTTCTCTCTTAAATGTATAATTAATTAGTATATACCATACTAATCCTTTATTGAAATCTACATATAGGCGTCATAAGGAGGTGATTATGAAACAGAGGCACTCTCGTAGATTGAAAGATCATGAGATCGACAAAATTCATAGTCAAACTTTTAATTTTTGGTTTGAAGAAAAGGTATGTAGTATCTAATTTATAATAAATCAATTCATGTTATTACCATTTTTTCTCAAATTTACTATGTAATGAATAGGTTAATGACTTGTTAAAGAAAGGAAGTGCTGAAATCAAAGACCAAATCAAATGGCTTGCTCGTGGGCCAAACAATAAGGTTAGAAGATATACTGGTTATATGATTAATGGTTTTAGATTTCACACTAAAGAACGCGAGAGATCATTGAAAACTTAGAATAGTGGTGTTGTTGTGACAGTGAAAGATCAAAGTTATGATAGTGGACAGCTTGTAAAAAAGAGATTAACTATTATGGAGTATTAACTGATATCATTGAATTGAATTACTCCGGTATGTATAAGTTTGTTCTTTTTAGATGTGATTGGGTTGATATTAATAGAGGTTGCATGGAAGATAATTTCGACTTCACGCTTGTAAATTTCTCACATCTTATCCATCAAGGCAACAATTTACTTGATGATCCATTCATTTTAGCATCACAAGCTAAAAAAGTCTACTATGTTGAGGATGAAAGGGATAATGGTTGGCTTATTGTCAAACCTGCTAAGTTGAGAGATGTTTTTGATATGGGGGTACAACACAATGATTCATCAATTGAGGACAACAATAAAGATATGACTTAGGTTAGAACTGATGTTAGTGAAGATGAAAATGGAGTTGATGTCACGCCAGAGATGGAAGAAGAGCAAGTGGAAGACGACAAATTGGTTCCAGAAGATTGAATAATAAAACTTTTCACATTATATGAAGAAGTTTTAATTTTTTTTTTTATCTTTTTTAATGAATTGATATGTTTATTAATATTGAGATTGAAATTATTTTGAAAAACCTTATTGAGATTAAATGCTTTGTGTTTGTTGAGTTTCTTGTTACTTTACAATGATTTTTGTCCTAAGATGTGCTTGTTGAAATATGAATTTATATAGTTGGTGTTCATTTCAATAAGTTTTAAAGGAAAACTCCATGGTAAAGGAGAATTATAATATATATATATATATAGACATGGAAGAAAGGAAGAGTTAAGAAATTATGGAGTTAGAATGCCTCATGTATATGACTTTTTTATTCTGGATTTGCTCTTTCGGTCAATATAAAAATTATTGCATTATTTTCTATTATTTGGATAAAAATATAGTATATGATTTGGAATAATCTAGATATTTTTTTCTACTTTTTTCTTAATATTTTCTAACTATTTTTTTTCAAAGAGCATTGCTAGAAAAGTTGAGAAATTGATCTTATATATAGGAAAAAAATTAGTTGAAAGCATTCATTACTCTTTTTTTCTAACAAATAACACAAGTTGAAATTCATTCAAAAAGTTAGATGTGGTTATAATAAATCTTATGCATTGTAGAAAAGATTATCTTTTATAAATTCTTCTTGTTGCATGGTACTAACACCACGAAGAATGTGTCGACACCATAGCCGTGTCGGATTTCCACCCCATTTTGCAATTCCTTCAATGGGAAAATAGCAGATTTGGTCCCTCAGCTTTTATATCTCATAACTTAAGATTCATTCATTTAGATCCCAAAAGGAACTATTGTTCTGGTAATTTAGTCCCTTAACTTTTAAAAAATATTTAATTAATCACAAAACTCTATTTATTATGCATTGAAATCTTTTTCTACCTAGAGAATGAAAACTTTTTACATTTTTAATAATGATCATTTTTAGTTATATAAAGATTTTTTTTATCTTTTTGATGAATTGATATGTTTATTAATGAGGTTATTTATCTTTTTTCTTTTATTTGGAAAAAAATGTAGTATATGATTTCAAGTACTTCATATATTTTTGATACTTTTTTTTTATTTCGAACTAAGTTTTTTTTTTTTCCTAGCGCATTGTTAAAAAAGGGGAAATTGATCTTATGTACATGGAAACAGTAGTCAAAAGCATTAATTAAATAGTAGTTAATTTATTATTAATTTCTGGTAGTGAGGGTATACTTACAGTTGTAAAAATCACAAGTATAAGTTAGTGTTATACCCATAATTATATGTGATTGTAGGTATATCTATTGTGTATACCTACGGTTTTTTATATCTATAAGTAAATCTTAAATTCATATACTCACGAAGTATATACTGTAACTAATAGTTCTTCTATATACCTACACCAATTGAAATTGCGTAGGTATAGTATCATTTTTCCTACGGTTGTTTTGTGGATGTAGCTATAACTTATCTATATACCCACAAATTCTATACTGTAACTAATAATTCTTCTATATACCTACACCAATTGAAATTGCGTAGGTATAGTGTAATTTTTCCTATGGTTTTTTTGTGGATGTAGCTATAACTTATCCATATACCCACAAATTATAAATTCATATTTGAAGATATGAATTTTTTTGGTTACTAAACTAGGCTATCAACTTTGTTTTCTGTTTTTTTTAAAAAAAAAAAAAAAAAGAATATAAACTTTGCTGCTTTCCTAAATAAAAATACAAATTTTGTCCTATTTCTATTTAAAGATGGCGGCAATGACATGGCAAATGTCAATTTTAATAAAAATAAAACAAGTTTACATCCTTAAATAAAAAATAAAAAAATTCATATCATTAAATAAAAAAATTTATAACATAATTTAAAACCTCAAAAAATTTA